CGGCTTTCAGCTTTCTTTCTTTCTTTCTTTCTTTCTTTCTTTCATTCTTTCCTTCTTTCATTCTTTCTTCTTACTGTACTTCTCCCTTTATTCAATTCATTCATTCATTCTCTTCGGCTTTCAGCTTTCTTCCTTTCTTTCTTTCTTTCTTTCTTTCTTTCATTCACTCTGTCCTTCTCTCATTCTTTCTTCTTACTGTACTTCTCCCTTTATTCAATTCATTCATTCATTCTTTTCGGCTTTCAGCTTTCTTCCTTTCTTTCTTTCTTTCTTTCTTTCATTTCTTTCTTTCCTTTTTCATTCCTTTCTTACTGTACCTTTTATTCTTTCATTCTTTCTTCTTCTTTCTTTCTTTCTTTCCCTTTATTCAATTCAATTCATTCATTCATTCTTTTCGGCTTTCAGCTTTCTTCCTTTCTTTCTTTCTTTCTTTCTTTCTTTTTTCTTTCTTTCATTCTTTCTCTTACTGTCCAATTCATTCATTCATTCTCTTCGGCTTTCAGCTTTCTTTCTTTCTTTCTTTTCTTTCTTTCTTTCTTTCTTTATTCATTTCATTCTTTCATTCTTTTTTCTTACTGTACTTTCCCTTTTTCTTCCTTTTCTTTTCTTTCTTTCTTTCTTTCTTTCTTTCTTTTTTCTTTCATTCTTTCTTCTTACTGTACTTCTCCCTTTATTCAATTCATTCATTCATTCTCTTCGGCTTTCAGCTTTCTTTCTTTCCTTTCTTTCTTTCTTTCTTTCTTTCTTTTTTCTTTCATTCTGTCCTTCTTTCATTCTTTCTTCTTACTTTACTTCTCCCTTTATTCAATTCATTCATTCATTCTTTTCGGCTTTCAGCTTTCTTTTCTTTCTTTCTTTCTTTCTTTCTTTTCTTTCTTTCTTTCATTCTTTTTATTCTTTTCCTTTTTCTTCTTACTGTGTTCTTCTCCCTTTTTCAATTCATTCATTCATTCTCTTCGGCTTTCAGCTTTCTTTCTTTCTTTCTTTCTTTCTTTATTTCTTTTCTTTCATTCATTCATTCTTTCCTTCTTTCATTCTTTCTTCTTACTGTACTTCTCCTTTATTCAATTCATTCATTCATTCTCTTCGGCTTTCCGCTTTCTTCCTTTTTCTTTCTTTCTTTCTTTCTTTCATTCATTCTGTCCTTCTTTTCATTCTTTCTTCTTACTGTACTTCTCCCTTTATTCAATTCATTCATTCATTCTTTTCGGCTTTCAGCTTTCTTCTTTCTTTTTTCTTTCTTTCTTTCTTTCTTTCTTTCATTTTCTTTCCTTCTTTCATTCTTTCTTCTTACTGTACTTCTCCTTTATTCAATTCATTCATTCATTCTCTTCGGCTTTCAGCTTTCTTCCTTTCTTTCTTTCTTTCTTTCTTTCTTTCTTTCATTCATTCTGTCCTTCTTTCATTCTTTCTTCTTACTGTACTTCTCCTTTATTCAATTCATTCATTCATTCTTTTCGGCTTTCAGCTTTCTTCCTTTCTTTTCTTTCTTTTTTCTTTTCTTTCTTTCTTTTCTTTCATTCATTCTTTCCTTCTTTCATTCTTTCTTCTTACTGAACTTCTCCTTTTATTCAATTCATTCATTCATTCTCTTCGGCTTTCCCTTTATTTTCTTCCTTTCTTTCTTTCTTTCTTTCTTTCTTTCTTTCTTTCATTTCATTCTGTCCTTCCTCTTTCATTCTTTCTTCTTACTTTTACTTCTCCTTTATTCAATTTCCTTTTCTTTTTTTCTTTCATTTTTCATTCTTTTCGGCTTTCTTTCTTTCTTTCTTTCTTTCTTTTTTTCTTTCTGTTCTTTCCCTTTATTCAATTTTCATTCTTCTCTTCTTTCAGCTTTCTTTCTTTTTTCTTTTCTTCATTTCATTTTCATTCTTTCTTCTTCTGTACTTTCCCTTTATTCAATTCATTTTCATTCATTCTTTCGGCTTTCAGCTTTCTTTCTTTCTTTCTTTCTTTCTTTCTTTCATTCATTCTGTCCTTCTTTCATTCTTTCTTCTTACTGTACTTCTCCCTTTATTCAATTCATTCATTCATTCTTTTCGGCTTTCAGCTTTCTTTCTTTCTTTCTTTCTTTCTTTCTTTCATTCATTCTTTCCTTCTTTCATTCTTTCTTCTTACTGTACTTCTCCCTTTATTCAATTCATTCATTCATTCTCTTCGGCTTTCAGCTTTCTTCCTTTCTTTCTTTCTTTCATTCTGCCTTTCATTCTTTTTTTTATTCATTCTTCATTCATTCTTTTTCTTTAATTCATTTCTTTCATTATTCATTCTTCTTTTTCATTCTTTTTTCTTCTTCTTTCTTCTTTTCTTTCATTCATTCATTCTTTTCTTTCAGCTTCTTCCTTTCTTTCTTTCTTTCTTTCTTTCTTTCTTCTTCCTTCCATTCTTTCTTCTTTTCTTTCCCTTTATTTTCATTTATTCATCCTGTCCTTCTTTCTTTCTTCTTTTTTCTTTCTTTCTTTCATTCACTCTGTCCTTCTTTCATTCTTTCTTTTACTGATTCTCCCTTTATTCAATCTTTCATTCATTTTTTCGGCTTTCTTTTCTTCCTTTCTTTCTTTTCATTCATTCATTCATTCTCTTTCTTTCTTTCATTCTTTTTCTTCTTTTCTCCTTTATTCAATTCATTCTTCATTTTCTTCAATTTATTTCTTCTGTCCTTCTTTCATTCTTTCATCTTTTCATCCTTCTATCAATCTTTTTCATTCTTTTTCATTTTTCATTTTTTCATTTTTTTTTTCTTCTTCTTTTTCTTTTAATTCATTCATTCTGTCCTTCCTTTTTTCTCTTTCTGCCTTTTCTTTTCTTTCTTTCTTTCTTTTTCTTTCTTTCTTTCTTCTTTTCATTGATTCTTTCTTTCTTTTATCTTTCTGTCTTTCATTCTTCCATTCATTCATTCATTCTGCCCTTTTTATCTTTCTGTTTTTTCTTTTTATCTTTTTTTTTCTTTTTCATTTCTTTTTGTCTTTCCATTCATTCATTCTGTCCTTCTTTCTTCCATTGATTCTTTCTGTCATCCTTTCATTTTTCTCTCTTTCATTCATTCTTTCTTTTATTCATTCATTCATTCATTCTCTCCTTTCATTTTTTCATCTTTCTGTCCTTCTTTCTTTCTTCCATCCATTCATTCAATCATTTATTCTTCATTCCTTCTTTTTTTTCATTTTCTGTCTTCTCTTTTCTTTCATTCCATTCATTCAATCATTTATTCTGTCCTTCTTTTATTCATTCTGTCTATCTTTCTTTCTTTCATTCATTCTTTCATTCATTCTATCCTTCTGTCCATCTTTCTTTTTTTCTTTCTTTATTTCTTTCTTTCATTTATTCATTCTGTCTATCTTTCTTTCTTCCATTCATTTATTCTTTCTTTCTTTGTCACCATCCATAATTGATTGTTTGATTTCTTATTGACTATCTCTTCTTCTCTTCTTTTTTCTGTGTTATGAAAAGACCATGAAATTTCCAATATGGTTCATCCTATTGAAGGAATGAAACGAAAAAAAAAATTCTCCACACGGCGTGTTAGTATATGCCTGTGTTTTTACTTGAATGTATTAGTAGGCATGTGTGTATAAGTGTACGTGTGTGAGTCTAGATAGACGTGTATTAGAGGGCACATGTCGGTTCGTGCATTTGAAAAGAACCATTCAGGGTTAGGGATAATTTACAACAGAATCGAAAAGTCGTCCATTTTTCTGATATTGACTGGCTTTCATCTTTTTCTTGATTTCTTCATTTAGGACATTGAAAAGGGCATCCAAATAATTCCATCCTTCCTATTCCTCGGAATTTCATGACATACAAGTTCCTCCGATTACCATTAATAATATTTCATTCAGCGAAAAACTTGAGGGATTTTTATTCAATCCCACTACCCACCACCGCGCGGTCAATGCTCCCGCCCACCACATCCGCGTCGGTCGACGACTAAAGTCTTTGATTTTCTTGCCGTTTGGTGACATGAGGTCTGTTTACACAGAGGGAGGTTGAACATTTTCTTTCGCGTTGCCGATCGGGAGGAGACGGTGTTCGACACAAAGAAAAGCATGTTCTGACGTTAAGATCGAAGCGAAAAGGACAAACATTACGCTGAGCCAAGAAAGTCGACCGGGGTTTCTTTTGCAATACAAATCTGTTTTCCACGGTGAGGCTAGGGTTTAGAAAAATGAACGCGGGGGTGGGGGAAGCGAAAGGAGAGAATTTTATCGACTGTGAGGAAGTAATAAATAAAAAGGAAACGATAAAAGAGAATAAAAATGGCAATCTGTAGAACGAAATTGCTATTTGCTTGCAAAGGATACCAGAGACATATTTTGAAATATATTAGAGAGATCTTAGAAATGCCTTTATAAAGGTTTTCTTCTTTTTTTTTTCAGGACATTTACAGGGAACATATCGACTGCATACGGATAAGAACCGTGTTAATAAAATTCACAAAAATAGAAAGTGGAGTATGACACAGATGTGTCTTCTCACAGCAAGAATATTCTGAGAGCATTGAAAGAAGTAAAACTGCAAAGTCTGCTGGAGAAATTAACAATGGAAAAGCGCGAAGAATAAATAAACTATGTCGATGTTAGATCCAGGATATTTCGAAATAGAATAAGTCTACATAAGAAAAAAACAACCGCTTTAAAAAGAATGTTATACACACATATATATATATATATATATATATATATATACTCCAGCATAATTCGTATAGAGAAAAACGTTAAAATCATTTCTGCTTGTGCGAAGATGGCCTAGGGATAAGATATCTGACAGGTTTCGATCCGGACGTCTAGCCACACTGAGGAGATGTGATACAGCGAAACAGTCTGTCTGTGGATGACTGACTCTCTCTCTCTCTCTCTCTCTCTCTCTCTCTCTCTCTCTCTCTCTCTCTCTCTATATATATATATATATATATATATATATATAAAAACATTCCCTTTGGAGAAAAAGTTATTTCCCCTTTGCATGCTCATCCTATTTTGAAATATTCATATTTCCTGGAACTAGCATTGATAAAGAATATTATCAATATATATATATATATATATATATATATAGTATTCCATTTTGTATTTTTTTCCTTTGTAGGCACATTATCGGTCAGGAGGGCGACGATCTCAGCGTGCGGCACCTTTAAAAGTGCCTGAAAATCATACCACAGGGTGACCCAAGCCTTTTGAGTGAAATTGCGTATACGAAACTCTTGGGGGCCGTCGTACTAGTACAGCTAGCACGAAGTCACAAGTCATCGTGACCGAGGGTTTGAGTGTGCTGTCGATGTTCAGATTGTTGATCAGGCTAGATAACGCGCTCTCTCTCCTAGAAATTGTAAATAAGTTCTGTTCAGCATAGTTGCAGTATAAACCACTATGTGGCTATTGAACAAACATAGATATCTGCAGCAGGTGTTGCCTAGCCGCTTTAGTAGACAGGTATCCTCGAACACGAGTTGCCCACTATATATATATATATATATATATATATATATATATATATATATTATATATATACAGTTTAAGGTATTTTATGGTTTAAAGTGTTCAATATCAGTGATAGACTGCATGTAATTTTAGAAGTGGACACTGATGTTCACATTAATATTTACACACGTATGCACACAAACGCACACACATACACACACATACGCACATAACCAGACACTTCTTTGTGGTTGAATGGGAACATACCGTCAGATCAAATTACGGTTACCTGACGGTTACTGGTTCGAATCATAAATAAATAACCAAAAGCGAGAAAAAGAACATTTGGACTGTTTTTATACAATTTATTTACTGAAAAGGAAAAAAAATTAAGATTACATAAGAAATTGTATAAAAAACTAAATCAAAGCAACGTGTCTGTCGTATTCCATAATATATATATATATATACACACACACACATATATATATATATATATATATATATATATATATGTGTGTGTGTGTGTGTGTGTGTGTGTGTGTGTGTGAGTGAGAGAGAGAGAATATTTAACATGGCGTACGGACGAAGAGGGTTAAAAAGACGATTTTATTGTTTTTTTGTTTTTTTTTTGGCAGAAAGGGATTCATTTTCCCATGGCATTGCGAACAGACGTATGAATTTTGTTGAAAATAAAAAAAAGTTACACAATGCGATGCTGCCTAACGAGCGACAACGAAGAGATGCAAGGGTCGGGGGCCAGAGGTTAGGTCGCCTGTTGAAAGATGTCAATGTCCACGTACTGGGAAAATTATCAGCCAACATTTCCCTGAGAAAAAATTTATAATTGTAAGCAATTGTAAAGACAAAAGATGACGTCAGGAAGGCTGACATCATATAATGGCTCCTTCTGAAAGAGGAGGGGATCTTCCAAAAATGGGAAGTGTGAAATAGAAAACGAAAGCAGAAGATTGGTTGAATTTTAAGAGATTTGCATAAAACCCACCTGTTCGCTCGCGCCACAACAGTTGGATGGGACACCCATAAATTCAAGTGCCCACGAGTGCCAAAGCCAATTGCAGTTAGGGTTAGTTGGAGTTGCAGTCGCAGTGAAGTTGCGACAGGGAGTTAAGTGATTTCCGCCATAACGCTGGGTTTCCAACCTAATGATAATGATGATAATAATAATAATAATTATCAGCTGAAGAAGAAAAACTCCGACGTAATCCTTGTGCTGTCCATGAAATTATAAACAACAGTACTTGAAGTTAAATCCAGTTGTCGCTGAAGAAAGACTCCGACGAGAAACCTTGTGCCATCCTGGAAAGTACAAACCACAGTACTTGAAGATAAATCCAGTTGTCAAGTCTGGCCACCCTTAAAGAAATTACCCGAAATTTTCTTTCCGTCGCCAAATATTAGAAACACGCTGGGAAAAGAAGAAAAAAAAAAAAAAAAAGAACTTTAAATATATATATATATATATATATATATATATATATATATATGTGTGTGTGTGTGTGTGTGTGTGTGTGTGTTATTTTGACATTATTTCGTGTCTTATTCGGTCGTCGTCCATTTTATTTTTCAATTTTGTGCGCGTATTCAACTCCTTGGTTTAGCGTGGTTGAGATACCCCAGTGGCAATTCGACTTGATTTTCTTAAGATCAAAAATCACAACGTAAGTAAGAGAGGTCACAGTTGAAGAAGTCAACTTAGAGACCAGATGCTGTGTCAAACGCCATCAACGACCGACGAGTGTGGGCTGACGGCTTGTTCTCCGATACCAGGATCGATCCTGACTAAAGACAGCAGGCCGTGACCAGGCCCGTGGCCGAAATACCGCCATATATATATATATATATATATATATATATATATATATATATATATATATATAGTAGGGATAATTTCAAGGAGGATATTGATCAACGAGAGCTCAGTGTAAATAACAGAGAAATATAATAAGTAAAGACGGTCTTTCTATTAGACATACTACTGTATCTATTTTAAGTCTGATCACCCCTCCCTTAACCTGTATATTAACAGGTCCGGCCCTTAAAGAAAAAATATTTTCTTAGT